GGTAATTATTTAGGCCCGTACATTGTCAGGGTTTAAGGTTTAGGGTTTGGGGTTCAGGGTTTAGGGCCCGAAAAGGACTTGTAATGTTTGTCCCTGGGCTCTAAAGCGAGGAAATGTTATTACCAGGGGTCTCCATTAGTTATAGCATGTTATAACCATCAGGGAGCTGAATCAGCCTCCCTAAACCCTAAACCCGAAACCTTTAAGCCCCAATGCTCAACTGAAACACCAAAGCTTATACCCACAGGAGCCTCAAGCTCATTCTTCCAAACATTCAATGCCTCTCTCTTCTTGACGCAGCCTTTGCTGAACCCAGCCTCGATGCTCAACTGATTCCACGAACACAGCAGGCATTCTAAACCCTAACCCCTAAACCCTAAACCAAATTGCATTCCACCTGCGCTCTGTGCGGCTTTGGCTCGTTGAATCTGCCGCAACGCAAAGTCTTTTGCTGACAGTCCGATGTCAGAGCGAGCGTGTGTTGACCAATGGCTTAAGGTTTAGGGTTTGGGTTTAGGGTTTAGGGTTTAGGGTTTAGGGTTTAGGGTTTAGGGTTTAAGGTTTAGGGTTCATTGTACTGGAGGTAGGGGAGGAGATGGATCGCTGCAATGTCGGCCTGCATGTAGTTGACCGCAAATGCTAACGGTTTTTCGACGTTTGGACCAAGAGCCTCGCCAGCCTTCCCAGAGACTCCAATAGCCCTTAATTAAGGTATACCTTAAATTATATAGGGGAATTAGGGTTTAGGGTTTAAGAGGATTTATATTATCATATTAAGGATCCTACTATAATTTAAGGTATATTCCTTAATTAAGGGATATTGGAGTCTCTGGGTTCAATACCACGTCGAACACGTTGATGTCATCCAAGCCTATCAAACTGGACTAAAGCCTGAATCCTATTAAACCCTATAAGCCCTATAGATACCCCAAAACCGTATAAACCCTACTATAAGCACTGCCTATAACTCACTTCCCCAATACGCCAGGGAAATAGAAGGTTAAACTTCCAAATTACTACTAAACTATAAGAACCCAAAAAGCTTAAAGGTTGGGTATTGGGGAACTAACCCTAAACCCTAAACCCTAAACCCCTAACCCCAAAGCCCAAAAGGTTGGGTATTGGGGAAGGAAGGATCTTCTTGCCCTTCCCAGGCTCTGGGTCCTTGGCATAGCAGCCTAAACCCTAAACCCTAAACCCTAAACCCTAAACCCTAAACCCCAAACGCTAAACCCTAAACCCTAAAGCCTATGGCATAGCATGCTCAACGCCAGGCCGCTCTCGAAGCTTCGTGCTCTCGTGATGCAGTTAAAGGAAACTACAGGTACGGAGTTTAGGGCATAGAAGGATTGAATAAGGCTTCCCTTAAGTATAAAGACCTTCTATAAGGCTCCTATAACGGCAACTACCCACCTGAAAATGTCCTAGATGCAGACGGGCATCTGGAAACCCGAAGCCCCTTTGCCCTAAACCCGAAGCCCCGCCTGATTCCAGGTAAACCCTACTTGCAGGGTCTCGGGGGCCTTAGTAACTAGTTAATCTATGGACTTATAAGTATCATAACCCCGATTAGGATCCCGTCTGGGGTACTTAGACGTCCTAAACCCTAAACCCTAAACCCTAAACCCCTAAACCCTAAACCCTAAAAGATCTCATTACTAAGTCCCCCGACCCTGCAAGTAAACCCTAAACCCCAATGCCCGAAGCCAGAGCTGATGATCCGAAAGTACTTGGGGGCCGTTAGAACTAAACAGAACAAGTGTTCAAGCCAGAGCGGTTTAGGGTTTAGGGTTTAGTGTTTAGGGTTTAGTTGATGATCCGAAGGTACTTGGGGGCCGTTGGGATAAAAAGCAACCCCTAAACCCTAAACCCTAAACCCTAAACCCTAAACCCTAAACCCTAAACCTAAAAAGCAACAAGTGTTCGGGCTTGAGGGTTTCGGGTTTAGGGCTTCCGGGCTCCAGGGCCGTCCTTTCCTTTTTGGCCCTTTCGGGATAACAGTGGGTTTAGGGTTTAGGGTTTAGGGTTTAGGGTTTAGGGTTTAGGGTTTAAGGGTTTAGCGTTTAGGGTTTAGGGGTTAAGGCCATCACAAGTACTTTAGTGGGAGTCCGAGAATCAAGGCCCTGAAAGAAGAGGCAAGGGTTGATCACAATCGCAGTCTAGAAAACCGTATTAGCTTCGCTTTATAATCGTAGCAAGGATCAGAATCGTGCTTCCCCAAAAAGGGCCAGGGAAACACAAGGCTAAGCTTTCAGATTACTGCTAAACCATAAGAGCCCCAAAGGTTTAAAGGTTGGGGGATTGGGGAACTAAGCCGAAAGGAAACTTGTAACAGAACCCTAGAAATCCGGGTAACACCCCCAAAGGTTTAAAGGGAGGGTAATGGGGAACTGAGGAATGGCCACAACGCCACCTGATCCTCCGGGCATCCTCGGTCAAGGCCACAAAGACTTCGTTGGTGTCGATCCTTGTCGTGTCTGAGGCTTAGGGTTTAGGGTGCCGGGCTTTGGGCTTTAGGGCTTTTAGGGTGCAGGGCTTAGGGCTTCAGGGGTTTAGGGTCTAAGGTTTAGGATCTAGGGGTTTAGGGTCTAAGGTTTAGGGTCTAGGGCTTTAGGGTCTAAGGTTTAGGGGTTTAGGGGTTAGGTGATTAGGGTCTCGCGAGTCGAACTGACTTCGGTTTCACGATGTGGTGGTGCAGGCGATTACAAGGCTCCACGACGATTTATCAGGCTTCTTCCTGGGCTTGTTCGCGTTCCGCGCTCCGGGTTAGGCATACGTCCCCCTATTCGCCAGGGAAATAAAAGGCTAAACTTTCAGATTACTACTAAATTTTAAGAACCCAAAAAATGAGAGGTTGGGTATTGGGGAACTAAGTAGGAGTGAGTATGTCGTGACATAACTAACTAAACAGGACATACGATAATAGATTTTTCAGTACTATGATGCAACATCATATGCACAGATCTCCAAATTAGGGTCCCCTTGTAGGTCGTAGGTCCCCAACATAGTACGGCACCCTTATACCAAGGACTCCCTACATGACAGCATCGTGCAGCAGAATGCGAATGTAGGGGCCTTAATAATAAGAATAGAGTTTCGGTGTGTATATATATATATATATATGTATATATATATATATATAGATATATATATATATACATATATTACTATAGCTTCAAAAAGGAACCACCAAACTAGAGTTGGTAATTATTTAGGCACCTATATTAGGGACGTCAAGTCTTCCTAGCGGTCCGAGGGGCACGACAGGGCCTTGCAGAAGCAGAGGTTGCAGGACTTTGTGGCGGTTCAGGGTCTTGGGGTTTTAGGGTTGAGGGTTTAAGGTTTAGGGTATAGGGCGGGCATGAGGATTTTTTAGCAGGTGCCTATGCAACCTTACACAAAAAGCCCTAAAGGTTAAACCTTAAATGACCCCCAAACCCTAAAACTTAAACCACCCCCAAACCCTAAAACTTAAACCCTGAATGAATCCCTAAACCCTAAACCCTAAACCCTAATTTGCACTTGCAAAAAGTCTTTCCTGAGACTCGCCAAAGATACGGTGAGAGGCAGTATGTAGTGGGTTTAGGGTCTAGGGTTTAGGGTTTATGGTTTTGAGACGTGCATATGCCGTCACCCACTACGCCCTGAACGCTGCATTTGCAAAGATCTACACCCTGCACAGCACATCCTGTCCCAACATATGAAACCTTAGGCCGTGAAAAAATCAAAGCCCGAACACCAAATTCCCTCAACTCTAAACCACCAAATCCTTTAGGGTTCAGGGTTTAGGGTTTAGGGTTTAGAATACACTCTCGGCAATGGCACAATGGCACCTTAGCCCAAACACTAATGCCCTAGTCCAGGTGAAGTTGCGGGCGCTATCGTTGGGGTTGAAGTCTGACTAGAACGTTTAGCACAAGCAAGCAGACACCCTCAAGCCCTAAACCTGAAACACCAAACTTCAGTAGTACCTGTTAGAGCTTTTATGGAACCGCTTCAAGGGAACCCTTTTTGACTCCTTATAAGGGAAACCCATAGCACCAAACCTCCAGACCCGAGAATACCCCGAAGCCTGCAGACACTGCTTGACGGCTCGGGGACCCCTAAACCCTAAACTCTAAACCCTGAACCCTTAGTATGTAGAGTCCAATGAGTTTAGTGTTTCGGGACAAGGGTGTACATATAACCCCAACAAGACCCTGGTTACAAGCTAAGTCGCTTGCACCGAAATAGGGGCCTGACTAGCTACCACTGTTGTTTTCAGCCTCCTTGCTATAGATACTTTGTAAAAGGATCCAGAAGCCTATTCAAATTATTATAAAACTGCTGCAGTAAACCACCTTTACCCTAAACCCTAAACCTTAAACCCTAAATCCTAAAATCTAAACCTTAAAACCTGCACCCTAAAACCTAAGCCCTAAACTAAAACCTAAGCCTTAAACCCGAAACCCTTAACCCTAAACTCTAAACCCTCAACACCAGACTCTACGCCCCCGGAAGCTGAGTTTGGCACTCGGTCGAAATCTGAGTCTCGACAACGCGGCCGTGCAGGATCTTGGTTCGGGCTTCGGGGTTTAGGGTTTAGGGATTTAGGGTTTAGGGTTCAGGGATTTAGGATTTAGGGTTTAGGGTTTAAAGGTTTACGGTTTAGGGTTACCGGGACATCCAAAAACCTTCTGTTTTAAGGGTTCTACCCTCCTCGAATTAAGGGGTCACACATAGCCTCCTATTTTGTAGGGTTTCAGGTTTAGGGACCCTAAACCCTAAACCCTAAACCCTAAACCCTAAACCCAATCAGGGTTCGAGTTTCGGCTCCAGGGTTTCGGGTTCGGGGTTTCGGGTTGAGGATTTCGGGCGCAGGCTTCAGGATTTCGGGTTTACGGTTCAGGGTTTAGGGTGGGAGGGCTAAAGACGCAATACAGGGGTCGCTAATTTCAGAATTGTAGCATAGCGTTACTAATATCTCCTTGCAATCCCTCCAAAATTACACAGCGTTCTCCACCCCAAAACCCTGTTCAAAAATGTGGTTTTTGACTTATAGAGTGTTGCAATAGGGAGCCAGACCCCTCAACCCAAAACGCCTCTGCCTTGATGTAAGGCCCCATCAAGAAGTATGTTCTGGTAGGCTGAAGTAGACTTCTTTGCACACGGTTTAGGGTTTAGGGTTTAGGGTTTAGGGTTTAGGGTTTAGGGTTTAGGGAGACCTTTTGCCGTGCATTCCTACTCATTGTAGCCTTTAGCCCTCCCTGAAGTCCCCTAAACCGTGTGAGAATCCTGATCCTTCAACCCCAAACCCTAGGGTTTAGGGTTTAGGGTTTAGGGTTTAGGGTTTAGGGTTTAGGGAAAATCTCAAGATGCTGTGGGAAAAAACAACATAAATCCTCCTATAGAACCCTTATCAATCCTTATAGAACCCTGAAATAGAAACCTTATAACTTATAGCCCTAAACCACAAACCCTAAACCCTGAATCCCTAAACCCTCAACCCTAAACCCTACACCGTGGCTCCAGGTCCCTGGCGAGGGTGTCGTCGATCAAGGCAACGAGCTCCTCCATGGTGTTGACCTGTATTAGTGCTCTTAAAGGAATCCTAGTATAAACCCTCTCACCCCTAAACCCTAAACCCTGAACCCTGGACCCTAAACCCTGAACCCTGAACCCTAAAATCTATAAACCCTAAACCCTAAAACCTGAACCCTAAGCCCTAAGCCCTAAACCCTAATCTAACTCTAATTAAACCCTAAACCCTGAAACCCTAAGCCCTATAAACCCTTAACCTTCAAGGAATTCCTCAAGGGTTCGGGATTTGGGTTCCCCAGGATTCCTTTAAGATTGAAGCTCCAAGCAAGCCTCTCCAAGGCCAAGCCTTGTTCCCCGGTACTTAGCGGCTGCATCGGTGTTCTTTAATCTTCGCGGATAAGATAGATGCCTGAATTCTCACCAACATTATTCCTTACGGTTCCTTAATACAAGCTTGCAGCAGATTCCAGGATCAAGTGCGCTGCAGGACCAGCAAGCGCCATGGAATGCTGTGAGATCACGCTGCGTTGGCCCAGCGCCGGGATTTCCTGGAGGAGCTAGGCTTCCAAAGTGTGAGAACATGCCACTGCTGGTTGCCGCAGACTCCACCCAGCCTTTGGCAGTAGATGATGCCCCCAGATATCGTCTGTTCGTCACTTCCTCAAGGACGAAAAGAAACCTTAAAAGTAGGGGCCCTACACCCTCATACTAACAATCCCTGTATCGTATATGAACCCTAAACCCTTTTAGGGCTCTTTTCGTCCTTAAGACTTGGACCAAGATGTTATCTCTAAGCAGAGGTAAAGGCGCGCTTGAAGTCCTGGGTGAAACGGGTGGTGACATCAGGTTCTTTGGTCTTCTGGTTTAGGGTTTAGGGGTTTAGGGGTTTAGGGGTTTAGGGTTTAGGGTTTAGGGTTTAGGGTTTAGGGTTTAGGGTTTAGGGTTTAGGGTTGACGTCGACGGAGCGGAACTTTGTTATGAACGCGCGCAGGGAGTACGCAGATATGAGGATGACGAGTCTCATGATGATAATGCCCACGGATCTCAGCTCGTTGCCTTAAACCCTACAAGGACCCTGAAAGGAACTCCGGTCAACACCGATAGAAGACTTGATACGCTCATGAATAGCAAAGCCAAAATAAAATAGTCTTTAATAAATCACGCACTCTTACAGGTTAACCTTCAAGCCTAAACCCTATTTCCTAAACCCTAAAAACCCGAAATCCTAAAAGCCCTGAGCCCTACGCCCTGAACCCTCCACCACCACCCCCCCACCCCGCCGTCATAACTGGGCTAACTCTTGCAGTCTGTCGACTTAGTCGGAAACTCAGGTATCCATGCCTGTAGTCTTTGCAAGCCAAAGTATACCAAACCTGAACTCTAAACCCTGGGTGGCATTCGCAAGGAAAGCTTTAACTCTGCGGGAGTAAAAGCCAACCTTTGCGATTACATCGAAGTTGTAGCACCAGAACACATTCCAGGCTGCCTTCTCTACTGTTGTATCAGAAAATGGCAAAGGCCAAAACCATAAACCCTGAACCCTACCTTAAATGGGGATCGATTCAGACAGACCCCAAATGCCCAAACCATCCCAAGCCCTAATTAATCCCCTAAACCCAGAGTTTAGGGTATAGGGTTTAGGGGTTTAGGTCTTAGGGGCTTAGGGTTCAGGTTTTAAGGGTTCTACCGTTTCATTAAGGGGTCATACCCTACCATTTTGTAGGGTGTGGGTTCACAGGAAAGCCCTGCGCCTCAAATTAGCCGATCTGTCTCCCCCTATCCTAAACCCTAAACCCTAAAACCGTCCAGAGGACTTGCTTAATAGGCCGTTGGCGCCCTTTAGGGTTCAGTCTTCAATAGTCTTTCTTAGCTTCTAACGCCTACGCCGATCTGTTCCTAAATCGCCAATTCAAAACTCCAAAACTTACTTCCCCAATAACCCATGGAAATAAAAGGTTACACTTTCAGATTACTTCAAGAGCGCAAAACGTCTAAAGGTTGGGTATTGGGGAACTAAGAAAACCCTGAATCCCAAACCCCCGACCTCCAAAACCCTGAACCCTGAACTCATATCCCTCAAACGCCAAAAAAGTTTAGGGCTTAGGGTTTAGGGCTTAGGGTTTAGGGTTTAGGGTAGAGCCATGATAATAACTAGAAGTCTTGTGAACCATAACGTCTTTTCGACGTTCGAGTCTCTCAGCAAGCGCTCCTCTAACCATAAGCCCCAAACCCAAAACAACCCTAAACCCTAAACCCTAAACCCTAAACCCTAAACCCTAAACCCTAAACCCTAAACCCTAAACCCAAAACAACCCCAAGCTTTGGGAAGCCTAGGGTCCCCACACCCGCAAAG